TCCTCTTTACTATGATTTTCAAGCACTGTTTCTTTAAGTTTTTCGATTTCATCGTTATTAACAGAGGTGGATGGACGACTCGCATGTGGCATGAGGTTGGGAATGCTTTGAGCCAGTCAAATGTTTGTATTATATTTCTGATAAAGACCCAAAAGACTTCTGAAACATTTTCAACGATTCCGTTTGAGCAAACTCGTTTTCATGGTAGAAATCGCCAGACAAACCTTTCGCGTCATAAACAAACAGCTACCAAACACACATTAATTGACATAAGGAGATACATTTTTTTATCGATACGGGACCAGTCCGGGTCAAATTTGATTAGATGAAATACATTATATCCACAAGGCAAAGAATTATTATCGTTTTCAAAGTGCTTAAAAGCAGTCTCCGCCAGTTGGAGTTCTCCAACCTCCCGCGCAACTCATGCAGCTGACAAAAAAAAGCAAAAATGCCGGTAAACTTTGCTTTTAACATGGTGTGTGCATGCAATCTGTTAGTAGGCCATTTGGTTTTGCGAATTCCCTTGAGCTCATACGCGACAACTCGGTTATTGCACACCGGTGTACTGACACTAAATGCATACAAATATTTAGTTTATGCACACATACAGCACAACTGTACAACAGCACAATTTTGTTGCTTGCAACTTTTTATTGCATTGCAGTTGTTGTTGTTGCAATTGCTATTGTTATTGCTCCCGCTGTTCTGAGTAATATAAAAACGCTTGTATTTTTTGCTTCAATCCTTTTGATAGCAATGTTTTCATTTCAACATTTGTTGTTGTTTTTGTATTCATTACAATTCATTAGTGTTGTGCGTTATTTGTTTTTATGTTACTCGCGTATATGATTTCTTTATTCCCGCGGCACAGTGTGCAGGCCCAATTGAAGGCGTGTTGTTTGTTGCCGCGTAAATGTCGTTCTTACGATGCTGATATTTATATACATATGTGTGTATATGTATGTATATATGTAATGTGTAGTATAGTAGTTACGCGTTATTTGTAAAGACAATGCGAAGACGTTGAAGCCGTGGCGATGACGTTGATGAAACCACCGGTCAATTGCCTACAAGCGACGTATGGCAATGGGCCGTAATGGAGGCGCATATGTGCATACAAAAACACATATGTATCTCTAAAACGGCAGACAGACAGACAGCTGGACAGCTGAGTGTAAGTAGGAACTTCAAAAATCATAAAAAAGCGTACAAAAACGAATCTACGAACACAAACTCGCAGCCAGCAAAGTTGTGCTGTGTCTGCGCTGCGGTGATGTACTTGCCCACCATACAAATATAGCATAATCGCAACCTTAAGGAACTAGCCTAAGCTACATACATACATACGCGCCTTACGCTTCTTGTTTATCTGTCTGTCTGTTGGCATATATCAGCTAAGCTGCGGTCTTTTCTGATGTCGGTTCTCCATGTGATTATTGTATTTGTATTTGAAGGCATGTGTCTGGTTTTTTTTTTTTTTTTTGTTAATGTCATCCAATAAGCCTATATATTATTAGTATTATCTGCGTTTGAAGCCCGCCTTTGCGTCGTCTATACACTTAAGACATTAAATGCATAAAATACGAGTAGGCAAACTTGAAGGGACTACGCGGCGGCAAAGTCGAAAACGACGAGTAGTTGTTGGGATAGGTCGCAAAGTAACAATGGTGAAAATAACAAGGAAAGTTATCTAACCTCTAAGCTACTGCTCTTATTTGCTAAACTTGTTGAGTTTGTTGTAGCAATCAAATTATAAAAAGTTGCACTAACTCTAGATTCTAGAGTATATAAGAAAAAATTTTTTCAATATTCAGTTTCAAGATCAGGTTTTGATGGTTAAGAAATCCTTGAACTAAACCTTTTTATCAAAGGGCGTTCAAAGTTGGATCTTCGAAAAAAATTTTAAAATAATATTATATATCAAAAATACTGGCCAGACTTTAAAACTTTATAGCATATGTCATATAACATAGGCTTGCCCGAAAAAGTTAGAAATGTGAGGAAAATGTGGATCTTGTTCACATTTTTACTTTTTTAGGAACTTACTCGTACGTACTGCAATTCTCGTCAAAAATAAGTCAAAATCAGCTATTAAATTAAAATTTTATATACTTTTTTTAAGCTCAATTTCGAAATTCGAAAGAGGCGATTTTGAAGAATAGTATTAGTTTAAATTCTGGAAAGTAAACAGTATGGGAATATTTTTATTTTTAACATATTAATATTTTTAATTTTTGACAGAATTATAAAAACTATACCATAGGTACCAAGGTAAAAAGCTGAGTAAGTCCATCTTTTGAAGAGACCTTTATTCAATGATCTCTTTAAGAAACATTTTCTTAAAAAAAATCACCATTTCCTTGGACGCGGTAACGGAAAATCGCGTCAATACACTGTTTGACCTAAGTTTTATAAGTCCAAGAAAATACTTTTCATTTCCACCGTTCCGTGCCTAATGTTATTGTACAAAATGTGACGAAGGTTCTAAGGTCCAGCAGAACAAGTACATAACTACGTTATACTATAGAAATCGTGCTTTTAGTTTTCGCTATATATGAGAACATGTAAAAAATCAGTACAGCAATAAATTGCGGTAATTTACGAATTCGACGCGGATGAACAGCACACATATCGACAAACATCAGAATTGCATAAAATGTATGACTGCATTTAGTCCAGTCTAATAGCTATATAGCATTAGCGAGGTCCTCCATAACTCATGCGCAGAATTAGCACAGATTAGATACAAGCAGCAAATGTGTGTTCCATTTGTGGCGTCATTAATGAGAGCGCATCTTACTACGAGTACTTCTGTGATTTGTACAGTGTCTACATATTTCTCTGGTAGAATAGAATTAAAGTACAAGTAAAGTTGCTATGTGTGTACATAGCTACTAAAGTAAGCCTATAATAGTTTAATTTGTAGTTCAGTTAAACGGCGATTAGGTTAAGCTTCAGTTTACACGTTCCAGAGCTGGTAACGCATGAGCTTACATTCGTTCACTTTGCCTCAATAATTTATCACGGGAATGTGAACACTCAAGAAATGAGAAACGGTCAACTAAATAGAGCATTGCCAGTCGCTCCAGCTCAACCAGCAATCAAATAAGAATCCGCAACTGGACGACAAAACAATGGAAACAAATCACACCACCAACGACAAGGCAAACGCAACTCCTCGGCGCAGCGCACTAGAGATTGCACGTTAGACCGAAGGCTAGTGAAAATCTAACAAATCAACAATTGCCGTATGATTGCGACTAATGAGTCCGACAATTGCAGAAATCAGCCAGTCAAACAGTTAGGCTGCCAGTAAGACTGCAAACTTGTACGAAAACCGCAACGGAAAATGTCAGCCACATTATGTGAGTAGTCGGCGGAGGTTGTTGTCGACATGACTTCGACTTTAATGCTTGCTGACTGCCTCCTAGGTGACTTCCATCTCAAGCAATTGAATATATAATTGTATGTATATATGTATGTATGTGACGTTCACACTTTTTTCACCGACTGCTGCATAGCTGAAATTGAAATCCAAGTTAAGCGCCTGAACCGGTGCGCAAAGCCTTACTTAGTCCCGCGCCGACCAGAGTTGACTTAAGCTGAGCTGAGTTGAGTTGACTTGAATTGAGTTGATGATGGAGCTGAAGTCGACGCCATTGAAGAGGACGATGTTGACGGCAACTACGACAACAACCAAGCTAATACGTGGTATGTACGAATGTATATATGTACATATGCACTGATGATGACAATGACGAGTGCTTTAGGCTGGCGACCGCATATTTTGCGCTACACACGCATTTTTCTGCCTTAACCAACCTCTGTAGATTTGCAATAATCTGCGGAACTCCACTGGATTGGCATCTGTGTAGGTATGTAAGTGGGTATATCAACATACGCGGCTAGGATTGAAGCCGAGGTATCCTATTATTGCTTCAATTGCATGAACTAAGCCGATTCCGCAATATTGGCGCGTCACATTTGTGGCTATATGAATGCCAATTGGGGTGAAAAATGCGATCGAACAAGCTGAAAGTTGAATAGGTTCAAAGCTCTGCAAAATTTATTCACCACAAATGGTTCCAGGATTAATCATTTGCTTCACCATATAGCCAAAAATTACTACTAAAAATTTCATACTCTAGCAACTTGGAGGATCAAAGCCGGCGAAATACTTTCTGATGTTGGCAAAACATCATATTCAAAAATGTTGCGAAAGAATTGAACATTCATTATACGACGAAATCGTGAATGAATTACACTCAAATTTGATATTTTATTAAGTTATATTATAGGTCATAGACAAAATTAGTTTTATAACTATATTTTACTTACCGTCAGCTGAAGAGGCTAAATTTAATATATTGAGTTGACGTGTAAAACGTTAACCAGAAGATCGGAATGGATGATATTAGGGATATGAGATTAGAACCACAGTCTAAACCAACTCCATTTATGTTCAGCGCTAAACCATTAATATGGTATATTAAGATTTGTTAGAATCATGGAAATTATAATACGTAGTACAATATAATTTCATATATTTTATTATATATTAGCTATATGGGAGGTTGGTGTAATATTGACCCAATTTCATCTGTTTTTTGCATTACTTTTATTAATATTATAAACAGAAAGAGATGTGCAAAATCGATATCTCAAGAACTGAAGCACTAATTGCTTATGTACAAGCTTCCTTTTGGGTGGCACAAACTTTGTGGCAAAATTTATATGTATACCCTATTCAGGGTATTTGACTGCTGCGATGCATAAAATGATATCAACATCTTTCTTTTTATAAATTTCAGATACGCCAAGCATCCACGCGCTCTTGTTCTTCCTCAAATAGTTTAAATTTAAATTTAAAAACCACGCTTATATTTGCATACTAAATGCTGGCCTCAGCATATAAGCACTTTAACACAGCAACCGATTTCAATTAGCAGTAATGGAAATAAAATATATGTACATACATACATACATTATGTACTTACAACAGAATCTGCACACCAACTGTAGAAAGTGCCACAAGCTTTATGCTGCTCAACATGCTTCCAACACATGCCTCCAATGAGCGCACTTATTAAGCATGCACGACCACTTTGCACGAGCATGGAGTGCGACGGACGGGTTGACGGTTTGACGGCTCAACGCGTACCAATCGCTCCGATTCATTACCGCGCACATTTGCTTAATTTCACTATTTTTTATTATTTTTGCCAATTGTGGTTTATGATAGCCACAACGCGTTATTCCTTTTCACTTTTTGCACTTTTATATATGTACACATTGTACACTTAGTTTTCGTTCTTTTTCGCGACGTTTCGCCAACTATTAATTTCTGCATGCACATTCAATTTATGCAAATGCATATCCCGTTTCACTTCATCTGTCATTGAAAGTGCCTCGCTGTTTTGATTTTTCTTCATTCTTCGCTCTTCTTAGTTTGTTCTACTTCTTGGTATTTGTTTTTTGTGGTTTTTGCATGTTGATTTACTGCGCGCAACGTTTGCATCTTGTTCTTTCGCTACCGCGTCGTTACCTCCCCCTTATCCACCTGCGCCGTCGCTATCGCCATCTATCGTATTTAGCAAAGTTTGTTTACATTGCATTCAAGTTCAGCAAAAGTTCATTTGAGTTTCTGCCTTTGCACCGTCGATTTATCGTGCTGTTGCTTTATTGAGTTTGTTTACATTTCGGTTACCGTGATGGAGTTCTTTCGCACTTTCGTCCGTTTCGCTTCGGCTTTGGCTTTGAATTTTTGAGAACGTTGCATATTGCAATATTAGCCTTCCGTTGCTCTGTGTTGTTGATTATGTTTAAGGATTTGTGTCAGCACTTTAATTTTCTGTACTTACTAACTTTTTGTTCTATTTTTTCCTAAGCGTATGCTTTTCTCATTACTTTACTTCATACTTTTAATGTTCTTTAACTCCAGGCACTGGGTTCCGTGCAATTTATTTCATGTGACCGATTACCATAGATTGAAGTATTTACGAGTTACGAAACGTAAGAAAAGTACGTATTATAAATTTGGTATTACTTACGTAATATATGATGTAAGCTAGTTTGAAATTAATTCAGCTACAAAACATTTCTGGAAAATTTACTTAAAAAAACTTACACTGAATTAAAATAAACATTACCCAGAACAATCCATGTAAAAACTCTTCTTGTCACATGTCTATTATCCTCATTACCGCAATAAAGTCAATAAAGTTACATAAAAGTTTTCATATATTTTATTATTTATTTAACTTCATATAAAATTAAAAAAATGAAATAGACACTAAAATAAAACTTATGAAATAGTCTTAGTTGTAGTTGTAATGAAATAACTAAACTATCACCGATTAATACTCACACTCTTCGCTCAAGCGCTCGATTTCATTCAAAATAAAATCTAGTTCTGCTTCCTCTAGCACTGGGAAACAAGTAAATACCATGCGGAAAAAGTTACCCAAGCCACGATATTGTAATGGCGCATAACCGATCATCACGGTACCGCTATAAGCCATACGCTCTTTAATCTTGGGTGCGACCTAAAAACAAGAAAAAATTCATATCAAAAAAAGAAAAAAGTTGGCTTCGTCTGCTCCGAAGCTTTAATACCCTTCACAGGTATACTTTCTTTAACATAAAAGTGTATAAAATAATCTCTATATTGATTTCAAACAGCCAGTTTGTATTGCACTTATATGCTTTACTGATCCAAACTGAATAATATGTTCGGAGATTGTAGCTTTGCCTTTGACAATAATTATTTCGTGAAAATGTCTGGTAAAATAAAAAAGTTTCTGCTACACGAACTTGAATTGGATCGGTCAATTTGTATGACAGCTATACGCTATACCGTTTGAACTAAACAATATAGCTGGTTTTCAACGGACCTATGTATATAAGAATAGCGACCCGGTGCCTGGCCAGTGCTTAGGTGACTCTCACGCTTTGGTGTGATTTGTTTTAGATGTCACAAGGTGACCTCAGGGGAAGCTGACTTTATATAAGTAATGTAGGCACCGTGCCTGGCCAGTACTGAAGTGACTCTCGAGCCTCGATGTGATGTGATTTAAAAGTCATTAAGTGACCTCACGGAAAGATGGTTTCTAGCAGGTTCTATATAAGTAATGCAGGCACCGTGCCTGGCCAGTGCCGAAGTGACTCTCGCGCCTCGATGTGATGTGATTTAAAAGTCATGAGGTGGCCTCAGGAGAAGCTGGCTGAAAGCTGACTCTTTATAAGTAATGCAGGTACTGTGTCTAACTAGTGCTTACGTGACTCTGGCGCTGCGGTATGATCGTTTAAATTGTTGATAAAAACAATAAAAAACGTTAACTTCGGTTGCACCGAAGCCCTTCACAAATAAAAGAGGTTCCTTACAAAAACTTGATTCCGATCGTTCAGTGTATATAATAGCTATATGCTATAGTGATCCGATCTGAACAATTTCGTCGGAGATTCCTCTTGAGGAGAAAAGATGTGTGCAAAATTTCAGGATGATATCTCAAAAACTGAGGGACTAGTTCGCGTATATACAGACAAAATTATAGGGCCTCCGACATTTTCTTCTGGAGGTTACAAATTTCGTGCAAACTTAATATACCCTGTTCAGCGTATAATAAAATTTACATTTTACTTCCGAAAAATTTCGATTACTTACCGTATATAAACGCTCTCGCCACTCCGGCGTTTCTTTTAGTCCCCTCAGCGCCTTTGGTATGTACCAAAAACAAACATTCATATATTGGTTATCTTCCAAAACCAAGCGAAAGCGTTCGCTACCACGTTGCCTGATTTTCTCAACCAGAACTTTCGAAATATCTATGGAATGATCAAGCAAACGTCCGAAACAGCCGTAACCACGCGCCTTCAGCATTAACCAAAATTTAAAAGCATCAATTTTACGTCCGCACTGTATACTCTTATTGCCTGTATCATAGGATACATCGTAAAATTTATCCTGCTGAAAGAGATAGTTCACCTGTATGCTATTACAACGTGTGAGTAGATCACGCTCGCGTGTCAAAAAGAGTGAGCATTGCAGTGGTGCGCCGAGTGATTTATGTGGATTCCAGGCAAAAGAATTAGTGCGATCGAGACCGGCTAACAAATGACGATTTCGATAAGAGAGCAGCGCAGAACCGCCAAGACATGCCTGTACGTGGATTTGTATAACAATTATATAAATTATAGAATTTTATAACCGCTAATGACTTAAATACTCACATCCACATGCAACCACAAGCCATATTTTTCACACACATCCGCTATCGCATTGAGATCATCGAACGCTCCCAACACGGTGGTGCCAGCGGTAGCATTCACAAAAAACGGCTCACATCCCGACTCTTGCGCTTTCAAAATTTTAGCCTCCAAATCGTTTGTTAACATTTGACCGCGTTCATTTGTTTTGACAACAACACAATTATCGGCACCTAGACCCAGCCAATGCGCGGCTTTAACAAAGCTGTAATGTGACTCTTCAGATGTAAAGAGAGCAAGTGGACGCATGCCAAACATGCCAGCTGTCTTCACTTGAGGGTGACGACTATAGCGAGCTAAGACAAGGCCATACCTAAAGTATATAGAAATGAGTTGTTGAGTGGATAATAAAACAAAATTCTAAATACAGCGAAAAATTTGTGAAGTTCAGTAATATACCATAAGTTTCAATATGAGAAATCATTAAATCAGCATTTGGTTTCAAAAATATAACTTTAATAAATTGCTCTCAGTGTATATACAAACATCTTACTCTTCATTGTTTGGACAACCCTGTGAAGTTTAACCACTTTGACTCTGACCGAATAAATACATATTTTTGTATGTAAATAAGCTTTTGAGCCGTCAAAACAATGTCTTTGCTTGCGATTTTTCTAACTGTCTAACTGCTAGTCGTGTGAGTGAGTAATTAGCCCTAAAGTAACACTTGCCATTGAACATCTTGATAGTGAACCATGTAAGACAACTCAGCGGATCTAATATTTTCAATGCGTCAAAGTCAAGTGTTGGCCGAAGGCATAACTGTTTTCGCTTACAAACTTAGGCTTATTATATAACGGAGTGTATATATGTATTGTATATACCTATTGTCTTAGCATTGTTGAAGTTTACTTACATATTAGATATGGAGCCACCAGGTGAGAAGATGCCATCACCTTCAATATAACCAGCCAATTGGCAAACGGTACGTATGATTTCCGTTTCCATCAGCGTAAAGACAGGGCCTACTTCATACGTATAACTGTTATTTTAAATTAACAAAGAAAAATATAAACTAGTGTGAAATTGTTACGTCTGCGGAATCGCATTAAAAATCGATAAATATATTGTATTTAATTTTTTACTTACGCGCTTGCGTTGAGCGCATCGGTGATCCATTGCCCCATCAAACCATATGGATCCATTTGACCGAACAGCTGATTATGAAACCGGCCATGATTGGTTTTTACTGAATATTTAATTACCAGCCGACACAAGTCCTTTATCTCTTCTATGCTATGTGTTTTGTGCTCATCGATGCTGAGGTCAATCAATTGCTATTGAGAAGAATATTTTGAATGATTAATTATTGTATATATAGTAAATATTTATAATGGTTTATTAAAAAATTATAAGTTTTTTGCACCACGCTTATCAGCACTTATTGAAATAATGCAGCTTCCCCAGAAGATAATGGAAGTAAACTGATAATACAATATATTGGAAATATTGCAATTTGTTGCTACTTTTTTAATTTTATACGATGTGTTCAGTTATAATTACTCGTTTTTCTCTTCTACTTTTGATTTTTTTTTTAAATTTTGATTGGGTTTCTCTTAAATGTATAACGAAATAAAATTGCAAAATACTGACAATTTGACAAATCATCGCTTGTATGCGCATAATGTTGATATACCATAAACGTGAAATAGTTGAAAGGTATAACAACCGAGAGCGAAGTTCAATAGCTCTGATTGAATCAGTAATTCTTGACAAAAATGTAAACAGCTGTTCACTTCGGGCTGCGATTACAATTGCAAATACATAGTTTGTTTGTAATATCCTAGAACTTGTGTGCTTTTAAGGTTATCAGGCGCCAAACGATGAGTGTTGAAAGCTAAAACAGAAAAATTGTCAATTTTTAAAGAAATACTAATAATCAAATCGAAGATTCTCAATTTTTAATGAAATATTGATAATGAAATTCAAAAAATTGTCAATTTTTTTCTTGTCTCAATCAATATTTATTCACATTAGAACAGCCAACAACCTCATAAGCTGAAAAAACTTTCTTGATGAACGACATATCCAAAACAAAAGCCTCCAACGTCTTAAAGTACTAACGAAAATACTGTCAAAGCTTCATGATATTTCATACCGTAGTTCTAAAAAGCCCATTTTGAATATGAAACAATATTTTTACCTCAAATGTGTATTTGTAATTGCATTTTTCTCAATACAAATTTCAAAAATTGTTTCAATATAATACGAAAATTTACTGAACATCAAAGAGAATAGAACATTAGAACAATTTCAACCAAAAATGCAAAAATATAAACAGCAACCCTATCATGAATTCACAGACAAGTTAAAATAAACACTGTGCTAAATCGTAAACTGTGAACTGACCTAAATATATAGATAGACGATTTATACCCTGACTTAATGTAGGTTTAATTTGCCACGTAGTTTGTAACGTCGAGAAGGAAACGTCAGAGACCCTATACGAGTACTCTATATTTGTTTCGCCATCTGTCTGTATATGCGAAAACTAGCACCTCAATTTTTGAGATATCGATTAGAAATCCTTCACAGATGCTTTCTGCCGCAAGAAGCCGCTCATTTGTTGGAATAAACGATATTGGACCGCTGTAACATATAGCTGCCATACAAACTGATCGATTCAAATCCCGACCTTGTATAAAAAACTTTTTTATTTGACGAAATATTCACACGAAATTTGGCATAAATAATTGTCCAAGATAATTATAGTTTCAGTGCAGCCGAAGTTAACGTTATTTTTTTTTTTTTGGTTTTTAATTTAAAAAAATATGCATATTTATTTAGTTGCCTAGCTTATTGAAAATTTATACCGTTTAACATAAGCGTCTACGCTCTTTTAAGTCGCTTCTGCATAATAAAGGATTTTTGCATTAAACGCTGCTACTCAAACTAAAAGATCATAAAATAAATCATGGTTTTCACAGTTCACAGCACCGATTAAAGCTAAGGCACACATTTGGGGCGTAATACCGTGTATTGGAAGAAAATAAATATAGACATACTTAAACTTGAGCTTATGTACATATATAACAAGCTCTCACACAGCATGCGAATAACGAATACTAGCACATAAATACCTGTGAGTACACACAATCCTAATCAAAAATCAAAACATGACAATCTACGAACATGATCATGTATCAGCAGCGGTCAACAGCGGATCAACTTGGCCAACAATAACAACACAAAATCAAGCAGTAACACATAGCAACATGGCGCACAACATAGCAACTACATAGTTTCGAGCAACACCAACAGTTGCTGACATGTTGACAAAATAATTTTCAAAGTGAAGTGAAAAGACGAACGGCTTTGCCGGCAAGCACCTATGTAACTGTATATATATATATATACTTGTATATATATACGATTATGTATGTATGTATGTGCATCTTGTCCGTACACTGACTTAGTGATTGAATCGCCATTCGATTTGCCATAAAAATGCCGGTCAAAATGAAAATGTTTAAATCCGTTAAAAGAAAAATAAACTTGACACACTTTTTAATTGCAAATCCAGTGTTCACGAATAACGCCTTGTCATCGCAAGCGCTAACCGACGCTGCGCAAGCATTGTCAACAGATTTCGCAGCCCAAAACACACCCGCCAGCGCCAAACCCGATTTGACCATGGCAGTGACACGTTGTCGTCGTCATCCGCTGTTGCAAGCTACAACCAACAGTTTCAAATCATGATGTGTTGCCAAAGTGTGTTGACAGTTTTGTGGCATTTAAGCCGCTTTCTCGATTGCAAGCACTAGACACCTATATACTCATGTTTGTATACTATATATATTAATGCTAGGTAGTCGCTTACATCCTATATAACCCACAGCTTGCGCTTACCACTACTTTTTTGTGACTCCCACTGCTTCAATAAGCCTCAGCGCCTAATAGTATACATACAAATGCATATACCTAGATTCACATATAGTACTTTTTTTGCTAATATATTGATGCTATTTTACCTTCATTTCGTCCGGCTGCTTAAAGTCGACAATTTTTACCGCGTCGCGGTCGTCATCGGTCACACAAAACGCTTTCTCATTATTCAACAATTGATAGACGGTGCCCAGCACTTTCCAATCATCGGCTAGATTGAGACGTATCTTATCAATCTCATCGACTGCTTTTTGTGTTGTTGCTGTAGTTGTTGTTTCGTTTGACATAGTTGTGTTGTTATATTATTGCTCTTGTTGTTGCTTTTTTGTTTGCTTACTAATTGTCTAATGTTGCTTTAGATGTCGATATGATAAGGCAATATAATGCTTGCACTGCGATCAGCTTTTATTATTTGTTGTTTTTTTGGAGTTTTTGTTTTTGGTATTATCTGAGAATAAATTTCAAATAATTAGTCAAGCAAGTAATTGAATTTTGTTGTTAATAATCTTAAATAAGCTTAGTCTTAACGTGTGCTATAAATTTCTTTGCTCGTTAAAATAATTTTTTCTTTATAAAAATTTTGGCTACGAGGAATTCTACATAACCTACATATGATAATTGCATAGTTTTTATTATCACTAAAAATTTTTGGAACTAAACATATTTTTTATATAATAATATGAAAACTAATTTTCAAATAATATGAAAACTAATTTTCAAATAAAATAAAACTTATTGGCAGCATAAAAATTTCGCCGAATTAAATTTGACAGATATATATTGTTTTTTTTTTTTGTTGTTTGTTTGAATTGTTGATAAATATAAAAGTTAGTAAATTTTTGCTACAAAATAAAATTAAAATTAATTTCAAAATAAAAATAAAACTTGAAGACAATATTAATAACTTTCTGAATTCTGTTAGAATTTTTTTATATTTTTTTTTTTAAACTGTTTGAATTTTTTTTTGCTTGAATTGTTAATGAACAAAATAAAAAAAAAAGCTTTAAGGCAATATTAATAATTTTCTGAATTCTGTTTGACTTTTTTTTTAATTTTCTGAATTTTGTTTGATTTTTTTTTTCGTTGAATTTTTGACGAATAAAAAAAATTAAAATAAATCGTAAATAAAAAAAAGGTCTGTGAAAATATGTACATACATATTTTTGAACTAATTAAGCTTGTTCACTTTGATCTATGCACTTTCGTTCGCAAACTACACGTTCCAGCTGTTGTTTCGAAACTTTATAGAAAATCCGGTTCCGAAAAAGCCCCAATTTATTGTTAAAAATTCTGCGATTCCAACATTATGTAAACTTACACTTTTCGGCAAAATTTTACTGTTTCTTCAGCGTTCTTCCCACTACCTCACTTTCACGCGTTTTGTTGTGCTTTCAGTGAAATTTGTGTGCGAAAGGCAAGTACCAGCGTCACCCAAAGACTTTCAATGTTGGCGATCGAATGTGGAATTACACACTAAATGTATGTGCTAACAACCACCCGCCGCCTACTACCTTTTGCTGGCTGTGTTGCCTTCCGTCAAATGCAAACACATACACATGCAAATACGTATGGACAGAGACATGTATGTTTGTTAAAGCGCCATACGTGCGCTGTATTGTCAATGATTTAATATATTCTGCAATCGAATTCATTAAGTGGGTTCGCGTGATGCTTGCGATCAAGTGGATTCCAGTTGCGCCTCTTTCATTGGGGTGATATGCAGTAAAGAAACAAAAGCTTTCATGTACATACATACATATGTATAATGGCGCGCGAATGAGCTGAACGTTTTTGCGTGGTTCTTAACAGACATTTCTAGATTCTATCTATATTGCTAGCTTGCCTCTAGTTATTTGTCCTTAGTTTTTGTATACGCGAAAACTTATTATGTTTCGAATAAAAACTTTATCAAGCACTCATTACCCACTGCAATACCGTAACAATTCTAATACTTAAAGATTAATTAATTCGTCAAACTCAACTATGCATCCATACATATTTACATTGAACGAATTGAAGATAAAGCTTGTAGGTATGTTCTTATGTGCACATATTGACAGTGGCAATGTTTACTTTTTTTCGCTTAATAACCGATAGACTTCTTAATAGGTATGTATGTATGCATACAAGAGCATATGTATGTATGGTTTGATTTTCATTATTATTTTTTGCATATGAATGTGTCTGTGTATATTACCCATTCAACTTTTATGAGCTTTTGATAATGTTGAATTCGTTTTACATTTTTGCAATAAAATTTTTAAATATTATGTTGATAATAATGGACAAAATTAAATTGTTTAACCTAAATAGGTACATAGATTTAATAAACTGCTCAAGGAACCTGTGAACAGAACATTATTTTCATCGTATTGAATGGTGCTTCAATCTATAAAACGAGGATTTTGGTTATGATTGTGTTAAAGATCAGCGAATTTTATCAAAGATGCGGATTTTTTCTTGTATCACAGCAATAACTACTACATATATAAAATATGTACCTATATGCATACATAACCAGATATAATATGTGTACACATAGCTATGTGCTTCAGAATACATACATACATAGATAATTGTATCAGAGAACGTAAATGAATTAGTATTTTATTATATTTACGTTCTCTGCTATAAGCGCCGACTGTATTGGAATAGAAGAGCACCAACTATTTTAGCCATTACTGTACAATAGCAAGGCAAACTAAACACTGCCACCAGCAGTTTTCTTCCGGTTATGCAAAACGTTATTTTTCTGTATGAAAGCTATGTCTTAAAAAATATATTGAAAATAATTTGCAATTTTACGTTGAGTTATTCATTAGAAAATGGTTAACTGCATATAATTTACATCGTATATTTCAAAACATCAGCAACGAATTGCGTCACCCAAAGCACAATAAACACATCTCACCATATGATTTCAATGCTTTTCTCGTCGTTTCTGTCATTTTTATTCTTATTGTCATTTCACGTTGTCGGTGATAAAGAAATAGAAAATTACTTGGCACTGCCAATAGTGTTCTATAATTTTTGTCTTAATAATATTTCCACATCAGATATTAGACTTTATATGAAAAGGTTTTAAAATATACTTTTTAAAAATGTTAACTCGTCTTCTGAAACACCGCACATTGACACGCAGTATTGGTACGCTCGTGGCGCAAGAGCAACATGCGAGACACTCTTTAATACGTTCAAATTGGCGTTATGGAGCACTTCAGCGGCGTATCGACGCCAGCAGCGGAGCCTTATTACTACGATCAACGACAATCAGCGCACGCAACTATTGCACTAACCGTAAAAAAGATGAGGAAGAAGAGTTGGAAGCTGACTCGACAGAATACGTTGTGAATAAGGATCCGCAATTGCCGGCGACTGTGGCGGTGCCAGAAGTGTGGCCGCATTTGCCGCTGCTAGCGACGCGACGTAATCCAGTATTTCCGCGCTTTATGAAAATTCTAGAAGTGCGTTATGAAAGCAAAATCAAATGCGAATATACTAATATATATATTATCCAGTTGAAAATTTCTTCATGTATTGTATTATATAATTTTACATGTTTGTAGGTTTCAAATCCAATAGTTATTGATTTGATAAGACGCAAGGTTAAGTTAAATCAGCCATATGTAGGCGTATTCATGAAGAAGGACAATGAAAATGAGTCGGAAGTGGTGGAAAAATTAGATGAAGTTTACAATGTGGGAACATTTGCACAGATACAAGAGCTGCAAGATTTGGGCGATAAACTACGTATGGTGGTTGTAGCACACAGACGTATTAAAATTACTGGACAAATTTTAGAGGACCTAATTCCAACGCCGAAAGGTAAGTGTTTTTCAATTAGTTATATGTATAAAGTTCATAACTAGGGGGAATGGAAAGTGCAACAAAATAATCTAGTAAACGCGACCACTGGAACTTGCAAATATAAGCAAAAAAAATACAAACATAGTTGTTGCTTCCAATCACCCACTCATTATTAAGAAGACACTAATTTGATGAGAGCTCCATTGTACCGATTAATAATTCAACTAACGGTTTCACTTTACCCATTCAGTCTTCCTATCCCTTCCTCCTGCCCACCTTAACCCTCTTCATAAATCAGTTAGTCTTTTGACAATATATATAAGAAAATATTTCGTCATAATGCTCTCCACTCAGAGAAGAAGACGACAATACATTTTCCACTCTTTAATGTAAAATTGAACATCCCAGCTGAAGAACAAACTGAATTGGAACGTCGTAAGTTAACACGTAAAACGCGCTCGGGTCGCATATCCAAACGCGATGGTAATCAAGGTGCCAAGGCAACACCTGACCAAGCAGAAGAGGTAGTACCACCAGCAGCAAATGTTATACCGCCTGCAGCAGGAACAACACAAGTACCTCCAACAGCTGGCAGTGTTACTCAACCTGTGCTTATGGTTGAAGTAGAAAATGTGAAACATGAACAGTACAAGCAAACCGAGGAAGTGAAAGCACTCACCCAGGAAGTGATAAAAACCATACGAGATATTATAACTATGAATCCATTATACAGGTAAGCTCAATGCAAATGAAAATTTATAATGTATATAATTTTTTATTTTTTTCACAGGGAGAGTTTGCAGCAAATGTTGCACCAAAATCAACGTGTGGTAGATAATCCAGTATATCTGTGTGACCTAGGCGCATCGCTGTCTGCTGCAGAACCCGAGGAGCTGCAAAAGATCATGGAGGAAATGGATGTATGTAACACTTTGTATAAATCTTAATAAATTGCAGACATAACTCTTAAATTATACTTAACAGATACCCAAACGTTTGCTGCTTGCTCTGGCTTTGTTAAAAAAAGAGCTTGAATTATCGAAGTTGCAGCAGAAAATCGGCCGTGAAGTCGAGGAGAAGGTAAAACAACAACATCGCAAATATATACTCCAAGAACAGCTTAAAGTGATTAAGAAAGAATTGGGTATAGAAAAAGACGATAAGGATGCGATCGGCGAGAAATATCGTGAGAAATTAAAAGACAAAACTGTGCCCGAAAATGTTATGACTGTTATTGATGAGGAATTGAACAAGCTGAATTTCTTGGAGAGCCACAGTTCAGAATTCAAGTACTTATACAATAAATATTTACTTAAGTTAGAAAACATATAAACCAAGATTTATAAAAATTACAGTGTTACACGTAACTACCTAGACTGGTTAACCTCTCTACCATGGGGTGTTACCAGCACAGAAAATTTGAGTTTGGAACAGGCACAGGATATTTTGGATCATGATCACTACGGCATGGAAGATATTAAAAAACGTATTTTGGAATTTATTGCTGTGAGTCATTTGAAGGGCAGCACACAGGGCAAAATTCTCTGCTTCCATGGACCACCTGGTGTCGGCAAAACGAGCATAGGTATGTAATGTTGTCGTAAATTCGCATACCTCCAAACTCATGCCTTTTTTTTATAGCACGCTCAATTGCACGCGCTTTAAATCGTGAATATTTTCGCTTCAGTGTTGGCGGCATGACTGACGTTGCTGAAATAAAAGGTCACCGGCGTACATATGTAGGCGCTATGCCCGGTAAACTCATACAATGTTTAAAGAAGACAAAGACTGAGAATCCTTTGGTGCTTATCGATGAAGTAGACAAAATTGGCAAGTGAGTAACAAAAAAAACCTCATGAAATGTCTAATTAAACGCCATAAAAATAATGCTTTACATTCGCTAGAGGCTACCAGGGCGACCCTAGTTCTGCTTTGCTTGAACTGCTTGATCCCGAACAAAATGCCAATTTTCTCGATCATTACCTAGATGTGCCCGTCGATCTATCTCATGTACTCTTCATTTGCACAGCAAACGTTATAGATACCATACCCGAGCCGTTGCGCGATCGTATGGAACTGATTGAGATGTCCGGCTATGTCGCCGAAGAAAAAATGGCAATTGCGCGTCAATATCTGATACCGCAAGCGATGCGAGACTGTGGCATTACTGCCGAACATATAGACATTGAAGACGATTCGTTGAAAACGCTGATTCGAAGCTATTGTCGCGAATCGGGTGTACGAAATTTACAAAAACACATCGAAAAAGTACGTAAATATTCAAACTACACAAGAAATTAACTAAAATTAATGATTTTTTTATTTTAGATTGTACGTAAGGTGGCATACCGCTTTGTGAAAAAAGAAGGCTCACACTTCACGATAACCGCCGACAATCTAACCACGTTCCTTGGCAAACATATATTCTCATCAGATCGTATGTATGAAGATACACCACCTGGCGTTGTTATGGGTCTGGCATGGACCGCTATGGGTGGCTCTTCGCTGTACATTGAAACAGCTTCACGCAGGGCTGGCAAGCTCATAAAAGACGATGACGCTGGTGGTTCAATACACTTAACGGGTAACCTTGGTACTGTAATGAAGGAATCGGCACAAATTGCGCTAACCGTGGCGCGAAATTATCTGCGTACTAAGAATGAAGATAATACTTTCTTAGAGAAAGGGTACGCTGTTTAAAAGTAGTGTTTAAGCTTATTACTAAACTAATATTTGTTGACTTGCAGCCATATACATTTGCACGTGCCGGAAGGATCCACACCCAAGGATGGTCCCAGCGCCGGTGTTACTATAGTTACTGCGCTAATATCATTGGCAACAAATCGCCCGGTGCGACAGAATCTAGCAATGACCGGTGAGGTGTCGCTCAAAGGCAGAGTACTGCCCGTAGGTGGCATTAAAGAGAAGACGATTGCCGTAAGTGATAGCCAACTCTTGATTGCAATATTTGCTTATAATATTTTTTTTTTTTTTTTTACAGGCGAAACGCTCAGGCATCACATGCATAATACTACCCGAAGAAAATAAGAAAGATTTTGCTGAATTACCCGCCTACATAACCGATGGCATTGAAGCACACTTCGCCACAAGCTACGAAGATGTATATAAAATTGCTTTTCCCAATTAGTTGTTGTTAAAAAAGTGTGTGTCATAGAAATGCTAAGCATTATACAAAAACACATAATATAAATTTTCAATTGGTAATTGTTAAAAAAAAATATATATATATATATATTGTATTTTGTAGGATTACTTGAAATTTGATTTTCGCGACGTAACCAGCTAGCGAATATTAAACAATTTATATTTAATAAACGGCTTTTTAAGGGTGAAACATATATTATAAGTACATAATACATAATTCTATGATTTTTAAATATCTGAGTTTTGTAGTATCCAATGCATATAATGATTAACGCTAGTGTACATGCCAGGACGATTGGCTTCGCCGCAACGCACACCCCAAGAGACAATACCCACTGTGACCCAGCGTCGATTAGGCAATTGCACCAGCAGTGGACCACCGCTATCACCTTGACATGAGTCTTGGCCGCCTTCGCGCACGCCAGCACACATCACAGTGTCCGGTATGCGTTCAACCATTGCGCCGCGGCAATCAGCAAGCTTCCAAATGGGCAGCAACACCTAACGTTGTAAAAAATAAGAAAAAACGTTAAATTCGGTTGCAGCGAAATTATAATACCCTGCACAAATAAAAAAGTTGCCCATACAAGAACTTAACGAAACAATAGTTGTTGTTGTAGCGACAAAAAACATTCGTAAAGTAACTTCGAGGAATGGTGCCGAGTTGACAGTCCTTGGCCGCATAAAAAATCCGGGTCCGTTCCGGTTACTTAGACCCGACTGTCGTAGGAACGGACGGAACAATAGTGAGTTTGTATGACAGCTATATGCTACAGCGGTCCGATCTGAACAAGTTGTTTGGATATTGTAGCATTGTCTTTAAAAATAATCCATTAAATTTGTATTGCCGCTATATGCTATAATGATCCGATTTGAACAACTTCTTTGAAGATTGAGCCGTTGGCTTGGAAAAAAATCTGTATCAAATTTCGTGAAGCTAACTCAACAAATAAAAAAATTTTCCATATCGATATCGACGGTTCCGGCAAATGAGCAGCTTCTTGGGGAGAAAAGGACGCGTGCAAAATTTCACATCGATATCTCAAAAACTGAGAGATTAGTTCGCGTACAGATAGACATACGGACCGGCGGACAGACGGACTGACATCGACTCAGCTCATCAAGCTGATCATTTCCTTCTGGATGTGACAAACATAATACAAGTATATCCTGTTCAGGCTATATTGCAATGAAATTTAATGCTTACCTCCATAAGTATTTCCGAATGTGGACCGGCGAAGGTTTGTGTACCCCAACCGGTTACGACGCCGACCTGCCCCTCCCAACTTTGACCAATCGGTGGCATACAAACTGGCCAAATATACGTATTAAATAGTGTGGCACGATCCAGACGCAGCAAAGCTATATCATTCTCATATGTCAACGGATCGTAATCTATATGTATGACCATATTAGCAATGCGAAAATCACGCGCACGCGTCTCATTAATCATCTGTGTATTGTACTCGCCCAAGCGCACAAATATATCTTCCAATTTGAATTTATGCACGCAATGGCCCGCAGTGAGCACATGGCGATCGGTGACCAGCGCACCACCGCACCAGACATACGGCAATCCGGGACGTATCAAAGCAGCCATCCAAGGCCATTCATCGGGTTCAGCCGGTCGACCGCCAGTGATGCGTGGGAACTGTTTGGTGGTAAGGCCGCAACCGCGTTGTTCGGGTTTGTTGACAATGCGCGCCTCTTCCAAGCCATTATTGTTTACGTCGCTGATAACCTGTGGACTGGAGCGAGACTCCGTATGTTGTGTGCAACATATGCCGATCGAACTGTCAATAGTCAATTACCATACAAATGAAAATTAAAGAACAAAAAATGTTTCATTTAAAAAACTAACTTTTGTTCGATAACGCACAACTGCGAGATCAAGCGCCAGACATCATCCTTTAATTCTGGAATGCGACAGTAGAGCGGATGCCGACAGCGCCCGACTTCGCCCAACGCAGTGCGACATTCGCCGTAATCTTTGTTTTGCTATAAAAGTAAAAATTCAAAAATAATTAGTTAATTTATTATACTTTGAATAGGATATATAAGGTTTGCAACGAAGTTTGTAGTACAAAGAAGAAAGTCTTATTAAGTATATACATATAGGCCCTGGGATCCATGTTTCCACACAGGGATTGTATCGCCTCACTAGCACACAGCAGAATTTTGGAATTTATCAACATGCTGGGCCTAGATAATACGATATGACTTAGGGGAGGGCACAATAGACCATATATCACGGTACATACCTCAAAATTAATCTATTCTATTCTATATACATATATAAATTATTAGCGTGACGGGCTAAGTCGATTTAACCGCGTTCGTTATCTGTCCGTCTGTCTGTATATACGCGAACTAGTCTCACAGTTTTTCGATCCGAAATTTCGCACACGTCCTTTTCCCTCCTATAAGCTGCTCATTTGTCGGAAACGCTGATATCGGAACACTATAAGAATAAGCTGCATACAAAGTGATCGATCACAATGTAGTCTTTGTATGGAAAACTCTTTTATTTGACAAAAATATCTCCATGGAATTCGGTATGATTTATTTTCCAGAAAAACGCTACAATTTCCGTATAATTCAGATCGGACCACTATAGCATATATAGCTGCCATAAAAACTGATTAAACAAAATCAAGATAAAGATCTTTATATATATTTCTATCATTATCACCTATGCAGGTTATTATAGCTAAATATAGTAAAAACTTTTTTTTTGTTGTAATTTACTTAGTTCCGCTATGTGAAAAACCAGTTTTACTTTTACTTTTTGCTATTATAATTGCGTGCGCTTTGAATAAAAGCGCTATACTCACTTGGAAAATCACTTGTCGCTTCTTCAATATGTGACGCATCAAATAATCACTACCGCCACCTGTACTGTTATATTCGTTAGAATGTGAATGCGCTTTGCTATATGCATTTTCATTATCGTGCCGACTCCATAGAAATTCATCGTTGTCAGGCAATTCGAGTAGATCTATGAAATGACAACGTATTATGAGTTAACGGCAATTATTAGCACGTAAAGATGCTCTAATGCGGATATGAGAAAATATTTAATATGTATATTTAGACTGAATTTAATGGAAATGTAATTCAATTAAGAACACAGCTCGGCGGAAAAATTAATATGTAAATATATATGTATATGTAAGACTTCAATATGCGCTATGCCGATCCGACGACAGTACATAAATGGAACGTAGCCAACCTTTTAACCAACTAAGTGCCGTCAACTCAACAACTTTCATCGAAATTGTGTGCGGAATATTTTCTGCCGATACCATAAAAACAACAATAACTGCAAAATGAGATTATGTCTCACTATCCATTAGCAAATATCTATTAATAGACATTATTATCACTTCGTAGCCAGAGTTAAATTTATCTCAATGGAATTATATAGTTTAAATCCGCGCACGCTAAGGCCTTGAGAAGTTGCAATAATAACAAGGATACTATTATCAGTTATTTGCTGCCAATTAACGCATATCTCTACTTGAAAGTCTATGTATTGTATGTGTGTATACATACATATATATTACTCGTATCTTAAACGTTGAAGTAGAAGTTTAAAAGGGGTGATGTTGAACCGAATGTACCTACAAGTATATTAATGAATATTCTTCAAAAATTTGAAGTTGTTACAAGGAATAGTTTTCCAAAAAATTTTAACTTTATGTAATCAGCTGCCAAAATTGTAAGCTAAATGCATTTTTTCGAAACGCTGTTTTCGTAGTCGACGAGGAAAATTTCTCCGGCAGTGCCGATCAACTTAACAGATTCATATGAATTTGTCAGATATTGATCGAAGGAATAGGACTTCTGATAATAACTCTGAAGTGTAAATTTTTGCACGAAAAACTACTTTTTTTAGGGAAGGAAGCCGCCATTTGCCAAAAATCTAAATTTTGACTATTCCTTCGAACATTACCTCTATCTTCTATTGTAATAATATTTTTTTTTTTATTTTTCGCGTTTGAGATAATTTTAAGCAAAAACTCTTCCTCAACGCCAGGCACCTTTTTTCGAGTGTCCTGCTGGAGATCGGCTACGTGATCAATAAAATCCAAAAATGTTTCACAATTAATTACCGATTAATAAAGTCTCTTAAATTCTGTAAATATACATATTTTTTATTTATTTATGAAATACAATGCCTCTTCAAAGAAAATTCACAAAAAAGCATGTTTTTTCTAACTTGCAAGTGTACTCGTATATAACCCCTTAAGCCAATGGCTTCCAGCTGTTTAAAAATAAATAACAGATAAACGCATATTTTTTCTGCGCTTAACATTTATACACTTCCATACCTAAATACTGCATAAATCTATTTTTTGTTTATACATACCAATATAGTCCTTAGTTGTTGCTCGAACCCATTGTGTTAAACAGACGATAAGAAGTAGTCGAAGTGTCGATTTTTGTGGGTGCATGATGCTAAGAAAAAAATATTATCAACAATAAGAATATCAACAAAATAAAAACTCCAAAAAAATAAAAAATTTTGTTTAAAGTCTTAAGATTTAAAAAAAATTATATTAATGTAATATAAGTTGCTTTATTAAAAAACATTAGAATTAATTAAGGGGCTATTCTAGTGTAGAATTTCAAAAAAATCGATTTTTATTTGTTTCATATTTTCAAAGTTTAACTATTTAAGAATATATCTACGAGATTGTAAAATTTAAATTATTTTCGGAGATATAAACATTTTAGAGACCCGGCCTTCAAACTCGTTCGGACGGGTCTAGTCGAACAAACGACTTTACACGAAACTTTAAATGCGTTTTTCTCAGACCAAACTTTTTCAATACGATACCCACAATTTCTCGAGTTCTACTGGACCGATTACGATTTATATGAATTTTTTAGAGAATCTTCTATATAGACTTCTCTCAAGTATGAATTTTTTTATTAACTATTTTTAAAAAATACGAAAAAATAAAACAAAAATGGTAAAAAAAATCGTTTTTTTTCAAACAGTTGCCTTTTTGTCAAAAATTTTTTTTTTACTTATCGCTAGCTCACACAATTGCGACATCATTGCAGATTGATAATCTTTTTTTTTCATTTCAGCTGACTAGGAGGGTTGAGACCCCCCACTTCATTAGCTGCCAGTTTTTTTTTTGAATTTTTAACTTTTTTTTTAATTTTTCTGCACTCTTGTAACGTTAATAAATAACTTATAAAAAATCGATAGTGAAAATATTGATTGCCTTTTTTACGACGCTTTAAAAATTACCTAAAATGCATGTCTCTAGACTAGAATACCCCCTTAATAAACCCAAGCTTAAAGCTGTCGGTCACTGATATTGCCGGTTATAAAAAAGTGCACATCAGAAAATAGAGAGTATTCCCTGAAGAATATCTGACATATATTTCAAAGCTATTTCTTGTTTAAAAACAAAAACTGCTTACATTTAAAGCAGGTTTTCATCTACTTTATCACTGCTCTGTTTTCCGTTTTTTTTTGTTGTTTTTTTCTTTAAGTAACGGTAAAGCAAATACAATGGTTATACTTGTCGCATTTTTTGTATTCAAGTTTTTTCATTTAAAAACTCTTTAGTGGTTTGTTTTTATCAAACATTTGCAATACTCGATTTTTCATATTTATTAGCTTGCAAGGGTATATCCAGAACTACTGCCGTTAGCCAATACAACACATGTAAGCAAATTGGAGTTGCACTGGTATGTAAAGGGTATACATTTTCAGGATATCCAATTTAAATTTTAGAAATATGCCAATTTTGAATTTATGTTAAAAATATATAAAGTTATTGAAGAGCTCACGAAATAAGTGATTCATAGACATTATAAATCTTTTCTGCACTCTCTTCCACTGAATACAAATGTCATATACCGATATTATTACATACGCTATTTTTTACCACTGTTACTGCTACTGTAGAGCGTTTCTATATTGGCGCACCGCCTTAGTTAGCAAATCCGTTCAGGTTCTCCACACTTCGTCAACTAAATTCGATCAATCTTAATTTTTTATACACAAACCATTGACTGTGATTTTCGAAGCGCGCGTCGTCGCTCACCCGTTCCCATTGCCAGTTTTTTCTCTGATTATATATTCGTACGAGTATTTAGCGATTATTGTTGAATTTTTTTTCATTTCCACTCTTTGCAGCGCTGATTAAAATATTTAATTTCTTATAGCAAACAAATGTATGTATCGTATATGTATATATATATTTATATAAAGTTATCTATACAATTAAAATGTTATGCCGGTTTCAAGCTGCACTCTACGGTGATTTACTACTATTTTATTACTTTTGTTGTTGTCGGAGAGGCTGGTGGGCTGGGCTGCTACTGTATTGTAATTGTTTTTTGCTATTATTACTTTTGGTTCGATATCATCTTCGCACATAGTTTATTGCATTAGTAATTATTTGGTTACGATTTTTTTGAAATAACTGTTTACAGTGGGTCTTGCTATGTATTTATAGAAAAAGTTCATTCTTATTGTGATTAATATATACTATTAGATCGAACGATTTTTGTATAGGATATATTAAGTTTGCCACAAAGTTTGATTAGCATGACAAGTTGAGTCAATTTAGCCAGGTCTGTCTGTCTGGCAGTCTGTCTGTATATACGCATGCTATTCCCACAGCTTTTCAGATGTAGAAATTTTGCAAGCATTCTTTTCCTCCCAAGTAGCTGCTTATTTGGCGGAACCATCGATATCGGACCACTATAGCATACAACGGCCATACAAATTGAACGATCGCAATCAAGTGCTTGTATGGAAAACTATTTCATTTGACAAGATATCTTCACGAAATGTGGCATGCATTACTGTGTAAAGCAACTTTGCAATCTATGAAGAAATTGTTCGGATCGACTCACCATAGCTTATAACTGCCATACAAATTGAACGATCGGAATTGAGTGCTTGTAAAGAATTTGCTGTATTTGTGAAGAGTATTATAGCTTAGTTGCAACCGAAGTAAACATTTTTTTTTATTTTTTATTTTTACAAAAAAAAAATTTGTTCAAAAAACAATAAAGAGTATGGTTATCTTAGTATCGTTTATAAAAGCAATCTAAGAAATTTTGTTGATGAATACAACTTCAGAAAATTTCATAACTCGTTATAAAGTCCTTTAGGCAAGCACTCTTGAATTATTTATTTTTTTTTTTATGAAAAATGTTTTTCAGAAATTTTCGTAATTAATTGTAGAGTCTTCACGTAAGAGGGAAAGTAGAACACCCATGATGTATAGTAGAAGTATTTGCATACTCACCAGAACTTATCATAAACTATTGGAGAGTAATTCGAACATTGTGTTTACATTTATTTGAAATTTATTGCATATTTTATTTTAGAAATATGTTATTACAACAATTTAGATTTATTTATATGCCTTTCATGAAACATTGCTTACAGTTTTATATTTTGCTTATATTTTTTTGTTATAAAATACTACACCAATTCCATATACGTAAGTCATATTATAGTTTTATTGTTATTTTAATTGTAAGATTTGAAAAAAAAATAAAAGTAAACAAACGTCTTGGAAAATAATAATTTCAATTACTTGCAATTGTTGAGAAAAATTAAAGAAAAAAAATTTAATTAAAGTATAAAAAACTGCTTAGAGATCATGGTTAGAGAGTTCAATTAAGCATTTACCACTTGCAATTATACGCTTGGCATAAAAAATTCAAAATATTAGTTTTTTAACAAAGTATGATATGAAATAAGCTTAAATAAGCATTTATATTTTTTTTAATGTTAAACTTTATTATTTTTATTTTTATTAGCACATAACAATATAATTCTCAGGCATTTAATCACAGGGATTCGCAACAAAAATAATTCATTTAGCAAACTTAACAACTTTAAGGACACATAGGACTAAAATATACAACGAACAATATATTTGTTGTTGTTCTTGTTTTTAGATACAAATTATTAAAATATTGGGTAGCATTTAAGCACAAACCGTAGACCAATGCTTATTAAAATATTTTATTGTTATTAGGCATTAAAGTTTATATATGCAGAGTACAAAATAAAAAATTTACCGAAACTTTTGGTTTTTAGCATAATACATACATATATGCACATTTATAAAGAAGTTATACAACATGATTATTTCTTTAAGTCTGTCCCAAAAATTTCGCCTTACAAAATTTTTTTGTTTTTTTTCATTAATTAAAAATTTGTTACCAGTTTTTTTCAGTGTAAATTTTGCATAACATCTACTCAGACTACTGTTCTTAAAGTGAAAATTTTTGCAGTTGTTTCGCCTTTTTTATAACCTATACATTTATACGTATATTCATTTGTATGTGAGTGTGCACACTGTAATAGTACAGTGTCTTATTTAAGCCGGTACAAAAAATTAATCACATAAATTAAGTGGCTTTCATAAAATCAGTACACATTGGGGTTTTGTTAGACGCAATTTTGTAATTTAGGTTATGTTCGCATACATACAAAAACATATGTATATGGTATACTATATATGTTTCATATGAATGCTCAAATCTAACTAGTTTTATTATCAATATTACATACACACACATAAAGTCACATCAAGTGTTATATGTTAACTACATACAACATTTACACCGATTTATTTCATATCCGCTAATTGTATGTAATTAATTAGTAATTATCACTTAACTAGTAAATATATTAGATTGAGATTATATATATGTAGGCATGTAAATATGTATGCATGTATAAGAAGTTTATTAGTTAGAAAATACATTGATTGTGTGCTCTTTTAATTCCCTCATTAGATAGATGTATGTATGTAAGTTGGTTAATAAACCGTTAGATATAAAAATTGTGGTAATAGGTAAAAATCAGTTAGGTGGATATTTGTTGGTCGTAGTTTTTGATATGCTGTTTGTTTCCAAATTTATACAGATATATATTTTGGTTATATTTTAAAATAGTTCAATATTTTTTTTACCGAAGAAGATTTTGAAACCTAGATAAGTACTTTGGATTATGTACTTTCCAAAAAAGTAGCAATTTTTGCGAAACACAAATGTCTGAACAGCATTTAATTAAAATACAACCACAGCAAATGACTTAGCATGTTAAAAAGCTTTATTATGAGCTTTTTGTTTTAATTACCGTTAAACGCTCGATAATTTAAATAGACACATATTAATGCTAGTTGAAACAACAGCAAAATAACATAATTACACGCTCATCAGCGTCGAAAATATTTTCCATTGAGCTTTTTGCAGCTTTTATAGCTAACTTGCCAAAGCCTTTATTTCTGCTATGATAACTTTCTGTTTTACTCTCATTCAAGGAGTAAGCATGTGACAAAAAAGCTTCTCAAACCTGCAAAGAGTCTCTAATGATCTTAGCTCCTCATCATTTTAAAAATTTTTCATTGAGATTTCTTGAACAAGCTATTGTAGCTAGATTGCCAAAGCTTCTCTTTTCAAACAAAAAGTTTTCAAACCTCTAAAAAGTTTCTAATAATCTTAACTCTTCACCGTTATAAATATTTTTCATTGAGTTTTCGTGGACGAGCTTTTATAACTAAACTGTCATAGCTCGCTTTTCTGCTGTCATAACTCTCTCACTCTCACCCCACTCTTCTCACTCTTTTTTATTTAAAGACTCAAAGGCTATGCTTGTGAAGGAATTATTATAACATGTAAGACAAAAAAGCAAACAAAAAAGCTTTTCAAACCTCAAAACAGTTTCTAATGATCGGTAAAAAGTTTCATTTGAGCTTTTTTCGATTGGAACAACCACTTTTCTAGTTCTATAATATGAATACCTCATTTTGTATAGCTTTCAAGCCGTACGACCATTATTTTTGATAAGTCACTTCTAAGTCGTGTTTCATTTGGAAACAAACGCTACTCAGCCAATGCAATAACTACTTGATTACTAATACTTGTATATAGAGTTTTGAGAAAAAAGTCTCTTTTGAGCGGTGGTAGCTTTGTCAATAAACGGTCGAAATGTGGGCATGGCTTAAATGGGTATGCTATAAAGGTATGTGATTTTAATGACATCGATTGAGCTTTAATATTATTATTATGATTTTAATGGTTGTTAAGCGTTTTTTATTGTTTATTTATATAGTTGTGCAAATTAAATACAACATTTGAGCTGCACTTGAGCTTGGAAAACCATTGAGTGGTTCTAAGCTGTTTCCTTTATGTTATTTTACTTAGTAAGTACGGCAATTACATATAGATTATAGCGGCGTGAGTTCTTGCTGTTAGCCGTTTGGGTGGATCGGCAAGTCGAATTCGTTTGGTGGTGAGCTTTTATAAATGGAAGGTGTGGTAGTACAATAGTATAGGTATATACATATGCTCTTCTTACAAACATACATATCTTGTATTATATATGAGCATGGCTCTGTATGCCTAAACACATAAATGCTACGAAATTGACTTTCATTTAAAATTATTATTTTTGCAACAACTTTCCGTTTACAGTCATATATTAAATGCTTTCTGCTAAGCTTTAAATGCGTACCACTCAAAAGTACGGTACGCCCCCACCACAGCGAATGCGACTTTTCCGCCCAACGCACATTATGCAACGTTCGAACTCACTCCTTAAAGCAATCGAAATTAAATTATTGGCAATGTTTACTCATTACTCACACGCATTAACCGCACAATTGCGCAAATTACTGCTTATCAGTTGCTAGCTCCTGCTGCTTATCTGGCTCATCAGCTTCCGCTTGCTTTGGCTCCTCTTCAGCTGCTGCAGTTGCGGCGGCAGCTTCCTCGACAGCTTCGCCTTTCGGTGTCTTGCCGGCATCTTTCTGCTTCTTGTCGCTCTTCTTCTCCTTGCCATTCACCTCGTGCTTTTTACCCTCTGTGCCATTCTCCGTGGCTGGCGCTGTGGCTACTGAGGCTGCACGCTTGGCGCGCAACTTTATGCGTTGCGCCGGTCCCGCAGCCGTGTTGGCGCAATTGCAGATAGCATCGAATAGACGTACCACCAAACCGCGCGCGCGGTTCACCATCTTACCGTTCTTGAAATCTGGTATAGTAAAACCTTTTTAGGTCGAGTAACGTGTGTGTTTGTGTGCGATTTTGTTTTTTTATTATAAATTTTTGTTTGGGTAAGCGTTATTGGTTTTTGGTTAATTTGCAAAAATTTGGGGAGGTGCATAGTAAAAAAGGAAAGAAAAATTATGCAAAATATTGCATTATCATTGGCATCAAAACATGCAACTTTGAACAGGCACAAAGAAACAGCAAACACGTATGCAATGTGAAATGAAAATAAATATAAGTGTAATTAATTGTTGATTTAAGTCTTCAAAAATCACTCATACGCCTCGGTATACCGTTCCGTGCTTTAATGTACTTAGTACTGCACACTAAAGATTTGATTGATTATAATGTAATTATAAGCTAAGAAGCGTGTGCCAACTACTTGTCACCTAAGTTAATTACTGTTTATCTGTTTTGATGCTAACTTCTTTTAATTACCCGTTAATAAGGCACGTAAGTCGTATTTGAGATTATGAACTCATACACTTAGAGAAATATGAAATGTTTGGTGTAATTCTTTGTAAAATAATAACATTCCAATTTTGTAAAAATAGAGAATTCACTTACAGGTACTTATATTCAAAAAACTTTCGATTAAATTGCCTTCGAAATTCTCCGCGGAAATGGAAATATAATATAAAAAAATTTAAAAAATAATACTGATGGGATAATTTTTTATAAAAACATTGTAAAAATTTTTAATTATTTCAAAATTAAAAAAACATAAATTAAAAAATTTCAAAATTAAAAAAAATTATAAATGTTTAATGCAAAATACGAAGAAATGTTTAAAACTTCTTTATAAAAAATAAACGAAAAATTTATTACAATTCTTTTTTTTTAATAATTTCTTGTCACAGCCAAAAAAAATATTAAATATTTGTTACAGTTTTTTGTTAAATATAATATTTGAATTTTGTAAAAACAGATTATTCGTTTATAGATACATACAATATATTTAAAAAAATTTCGATTAATTTGCCCTAGAAGCTCTCAGTGGAAATGAAAATATTAAAAAATCTAAAAATTAATACAAAACAAGACAATTTTTTATAAAAACAATGTTAACATTTTTTTTTTAATTTCAAAATTAAAAAAAGTTTTAAGAAATTTCAAAATTAAAAAAAAGTTTTAAAAAATTTTAACTTCCGCTAAAATGTCTGAGTAACATATTTCTTTCTAATAATTTAGCGCGCCAGTATACGCATACTACAATAATATATTTTGTCGCTTAAATCTATATTTTGCTCAGTGTATCGTTTCCAAATAAGTTTATAAAAGTAACTTAATTTCTCAGCAACGAATCATTTTACTGAGAACGTTAATGTTAAAAATATATTTTTTTTAAATTAAAATAAGGAAATGTGTTTGAAAATAAATGCATTAAAATATTTTTTAACTTTATTAGCATGCACAGGTGTTAGTGCGGTGAGTGAGATAATTGAAGCCAAAAGGATATTCGAATAAAAAATAATTTTTGTAGAGCAGAAAAAAGTATTAAAATATTTATAAAAAGTTTTTAGAAAAAATATAGTGTTTAACATATCATTTACATAAAAAAATTAGAAAAAGTTTTACATTTTTGTAAGTTCAACAAAAAGTGTTTGCCTTACACCTTTTCAAACACTACCTTAAGCAGAATTTATCAAACTTTGTGCAGTTTCTAAAATTTCTGAGATTTTAAAACAATTATTAATAAAATTGTAAACTCAAATAATTTTTTCGCCATTTTGCAGATAACAATGCAGCAATTTGAAACCTCCTTAGACATGATGCGCAATGGCTGTACACCAAAATTCAAAGTGCCAATCGAAATATTGGATAATTTACGAGCTGGCGAGTTTATAGAAAACAATGGCGAGTTGAAGGTAAAATGTGATCTCATATATGCAATAAAAATGTATTATTAGAATTTGCTAACAATTTCTTTATAATGCAATTGAAGTGTTATACCAGGTGCATAGCACAACTGGCAGGAACGGTGAGTAATTTTTATCTTTTAATTAATTTAATATTTAATAGGTTTTGTCACATTTATAATTCATTATTATTATTTTCATTGCATAAAAATAACTTTTTTTAATTAATTAAGTTTAATTTATTTAAGTAAAATATTTTATACTCTTACACCCTAAAAAGAGTATATGTATTAAGCTTACTACGAAGTTTGTAAAACCCTATAAAATGTATATATAACAGATCAGCGTGACGAACTGATTCGATTTAGCCATGTTCGTCTGTCTGTCTGCATATACGCAAACTAGTTCCTCAGTTTTTGAGATATCGATTTGAAATTTTGCACACGTCCTTTTCTCGCCGATATCGAAACACTATACCATATAGCTGCCATACAAACTGATGGAACAAAACTTTCTATACAAAAAAATTTTTTTTGCCAAAATATCTGCAGTTAAACTTGAATGGATTATTATTCCAGGTAGCGTCAGAATCTCCAAGGAAATTTTTCTGATCGCAACACTATAGCTTTTAAAAAGCATACAAATTGACTCATCAAATTCAATTTCAAATCATTAACTGAAAAGCTTTGTTTTGACAAGCTATCTTTATGAAATTTTACTAGTTTATTATCGAAGGCAACGCTACAATCACCGAACAAATTGTGTAGACAGTACCATGTCGAATGAGCAATACAGAATGTATGGTATAAATTACTTGTCTGCATGCTCAGTGCAATTGAAGCATAACCTTAACTGCGTAAAGCTTTAAAAGCTGTGTTTTTATGTAAAAAATCAATAAGATATTTTTTTAGAGCGGAAAATTTTTTTATTAGTATAGCATTATATATAAGTTTTAGGTTTACTTGCTTAATGCAAAATATCAAAAAAATCCCATGTTAAATATGTGGAAAAAGTAAAATGATTTAGGCGCGGCTTAAATTGAAAATAAAGAGCTTGTTAAGCTGGATTCTTGTTTATCAGAACAAAAACTTAAAATTCAGGGTGTGCGTTTGCAAAAAAAAACCAGCTTGCGAAATAACGGGCACCCTAATATCTATCATTTATATGTATATATACTTATATATATATTCAGCTTGTCTTCGCTTGCTTCCTACAAACATAAAATCTTATTACCTCAATTTGTATTGCGCGCGACAAGCGTGATATACTTGTATATACTTCTGCATATGTACATATGTTAACTTATGAGTGTATGTATATTTATGAATGTATCTTCATAAAGCCATGTGTGTTTCTATTTATAGGTAACTAAAAAAGGAGAATTTAGCGTGCAAAAAGCATTAGCACAAATTCCAATTATATTACCACCTGAGATGCAAAACGCTGCTAAGGAAGCTTTGATTGCTTGTAAGGATGTTCGTAAGTATGCAATACAATACAATAAAAATATATTTAGGCACGAAAATGAAAGCAAAAAACCATTTTGCTTATAAATAAAAAGCTAAAATACTTTTTAATTATTTTTTTTTTTTTGCAGAAAAAGCTTATAAGGACTCATGCGATAAGGTCTTCTATACAACAAAATGTGTGCGCGACTATGATCCAAGTACTTTTAAATTTCCATAATTATATGTATGTATGTATGTATGTACATATATATGCATTTAAATATGGCAATATATGAGTATATGTTAAATACTTGAGTATATGTAGCCTAACATTCATTTTTAGCCAAACGGCAAAGCAACAACAACACAAAAACATCTACGAAAAACAAAGCACTTACTCTGACGCGTTTTCTCCTTTGGCTGCTAGGCAAGAAAGTACAAAACAAAAATTGGAAATTTGTTAAATTAGCCACAAACCCAAGCACATACATACATATTTTTCAAATTGCAAGACTTTGTTTAGTTCAATGCATTTTTTGTATTTTTTTTTTTTTGTTTTTGGTTGTAAAGTCTACGGATTCCCTTACCTGTTGCGAAGCTTTGTCACTTTTCGCATCCTGCTGCTTTTCCGCCTCTGTCTCGGCTTTTTGTAGCACATCGTCTATAAACTCTGAGACGACTTCCATATTCTTGGTGTCCAGTTTGAATTCATCGATACGTGCATCCAACGGTTCCGCCTCGGCCTCAATTTTATCAATGCTATCGTCAGCAGCATCTTTTGGTGCCTCAACTATGGCAACATCACCAGCAAAATGTGCGCGCATTTCAAATCGATTTATTATTCCCACAGAAATTTACTTAATATATATATTTTTTTTAAATAAAATAAAGCTTTTACAATTTCCCGATGAAATTTTGTGAGTATTTCTTTGTTGAAAAGCGTATCCTTTGTGCAGGTTTAAAATTTTTTGTATCTACACACTACGGTCTTGCTTGCGCGACTACAAAGCGAATGAGCACATTTGTTAAACCACTTTCATATGTGTGTGTATCTGTGTGCGCAAATATATGTATAGTGTGTGTGTAATTGTTTGACTGCGCTAAATTTGTGCGGATGTACAAGTCTGATAACGCTCAAGTGTGTTGTGCGATTGAATGGCTGGGTAGTTGGGTGGTTGGAAAACAAAAAGCAAGGCGTAAAGCAAAGTACCACCACGCCCCGACATAACTGAAGTGGCGATTGCTTCCACACAGGTCGTGAAAATGGTGAAAAATCAATAAATCAAATAATTGGTGAGCCTGCTTATGACAATTCGTGAAACAACAAATATGGTACGAGCAGGTAATAAAAATAAAGAAAACATTTTGGTATGTATTTTGTTTAGTATTGTAGTGTAGGAAAAATTTCTGTATGATAAGGCATTTTATTTTAGTAGTTTATGCTGGTAAATAAAAAAAAAAAACAAGAAAAAATGTTAACTTGGCCTGCACCGAAATTATAATACAGCAAATACAAAAGTTCTCCATACAATAACTGGTTTTTGATCGTTCAGTTTTTGTTATAAATTTGGAGATTATACGGTTGGCTAAAAAAATAACCCATGCCAAATTTCTTGAAGATATCTCGTCAAATAAAAAACTTTTCCATACAAGAACTGCATTTTGACCGTTCAGCTTGTATGGTGTTTCATTTCGATATCTAAAAAACTGAGACTAATTTGCGTATATACAGACAGGCAGACGTATGGACATGGCTAAATCGATTCAGCTCGTCACACTGATCATTTACATATATATTTATTATCTAGGGCCTTCGATGTTTCCTTCTGGGTGTTACAAACTTTGTGACAAACTTAATATACCGTATTCAGGGTATAAAAATAGATGTCCATAAAAAATAAATTTACTGAAAATAATAATTATAAAAATATTTGAATATTTATAACAAGCTTTTTAACAGTTAGCAATACTAAAAACCGAAAATCATTAAACGTCAATAATTGTTGGAGGTTCATAAGAATTACGGGTTTAAAAAATATTTTTCACGTTAAAATTTTACAATAGATAAATATAATATAATATTTTCATATTAGAATAATTAAGAATTAATTCACACACATTATTAAAAAATGTTTATTCTTCGCTCAATTTACTTAAAACTTAATATAATATTGCCTATTACTAATTGCATACAAATTTTCTTTATTTTATTCTTGTACGTTTTTGTCTTATTCCAAATGCGATAGATCGTCTAACTCAGGTGGTGCGCGTATTTCTTCAGTTTCAATGATAATGGAATTTGAGTCGACAGACGCCTGAAATATTTAGAATTAAATGAAATTTCAATATATATAAAATATAAAATTTTAATGAAAAAATATAAATTTCATTAAAAATTAATATATAAAATTTCAATAAAAAATATATAAAATATTAATTCAAAAAAATATAAAATTTCAATTTAAAAAAATTTAAAATTTCAATAAAAAAATATATAACATTTCAATAAAAAAATATATAACATTTCAATAAAAAAATACATACATATATATATTATATATAATTTCAATAAAAAATGTTGATATAAACAAACAAAATATATAAAATTTCAAGTAAACAAATATACAATTTCAATAAAAAATATATACAATTTCAATAAGATATATACAAAATTTTAATTTAAGAAAATATAAAATTTTAACAAAAAAATATATACAATTTCAATAAAAAAAAAAAATTAATATAAAATTTCAATAAAAAAAAATTTTAATAAAAACAAAAAATTAAAAAAATTTCAAGTATACAAATATAAAATTTCAACAAAAATAAATATAAAATTTCAATAAAAATATATAAAAAATTTCAATAAAAATTGTCAATAAAAACAAAATAAATATATAAAATTTAATTTAAAAAAATACAAAATGAGAAAGTCGAATATAATTTGCCAACTGTATACTTACTCTATCACTTATATTCAAAAGCGAATTAGTCACACTACCACCACTACCGCCGCTACCATTCAATTGTGTTGTTAACAACACCGACTGCGGTGTCGCCGGTCGTTGATGTATAGCCGACACTTGTTGTTGCTGTGCGTGCTGCTGTATATGTTGTACTTGTTGCTGTTGTTGTTGAGCTTGTTGGGTGCTCGCCTGCGAAACGATGACAAACTTTTGTGGTGGTTGACTTGGATGTTGTATGGCACGCAACTGAGGTATAGCCGTTACAACAGAACTACTAAATAAACGTGAATTATTAATAACAAAACTTCTATAAATATTTATATGTGTATGTATGCTTACTTAATTTGCGCCACTTGTGGACGACCCACCGTTGATGCAGTAGCTGCCGCTGAGGTAATAGGTGCATTAGAAATACTGCTAGGTGTAGGCGTGGTGGTTGAAGGTGGTGCATTGCGTGCTTTTATTACTGCCTGACATAGTGCTGGACCCATAAAGCCGTAATCATTTCTATAACACAAAAATTATTACTATTTTCCAGACGTCAATATATAGAAGTTGAAATAAATGAAATGAACAAACCTATATTCTTCTGTATAATCTGGCGAACGACGTATTTGTTTAAGTACTGGTGGGCAGCACTTTTGCAGCATGGCGCGTATGTGACCAGCTGCTGTTTTATCAGTGTTACTCTGCATTTGGTTGCCTTGCAGCAGTGGTTCAATACGTTCAGATATAAATTTCAAGCGCGGTATGATGAAAACTTTAACCACTTCCGCGCCCATTTCTGTTAGTCCCGCAATAGCACCGTACAGTGAAGATAAATGGGTTTTGTCGTTTTGTAGTGCTTTGCTGAAGATGCTGTAATATATAAATTATTTATATAAAAATATGTATAAATAAAAGTACGATAATTATTTTTTAGTATCTTACCGTGTTACACGCGTTTGCAGATTATTCGTGGAGGTATTAAAATTTTTGCATATCATCGCCATTAGACGTGAGGCGAAATCCCGCAATGCCCAGTGATTGTCCAATTCCGGTCGCATGCATAGTTGTTTGGAGACAATGCATGTGGTGACCGATGGTATCAACTCATGTAACTGTAAATGAAGTCAGTTATAAGAAAACTCTGTTTATGCGGATTTATTGACCAAAAACTTACATATTTCTCTAGATATAATGATGGATTATCCAAGAGTGCGCGCACCATACGCATCAGATAAATAAGTAACGCCAGGTTATTTTGCACAACATTTACTTTCACACCTTCCGCTATAAAAGTGCACATACGTGGTAACATTTCGTGCAGTCCAGGGTCTGATGCCAGCGACTGAAGCGCTTCGCCACGTCGCGGTTCGTCAGAACCAACGCAGGCTTCGGTGATTTCTTTATAATACAGCTGTTGTTCTACTGACAACTCATGCGTAGCTAACTGTTTAACATGCACTGTTTCCACATTACGTAGCTTATGTATTTTCCCCGTAGCTGGTTTACCTGCTGCATCTTTTGTCACACCTTGTTCTAATTTTACTATAGGGTTTACAGACTCCAATGCTTGAGAGTCTTTCGATAATGGCGGTGGGTTTTCAGGTATAGTCGGCTGAATTCCATCTACTACTAACCAATGAGATCTTAAAGTTATATCCAATGGTACTTTGGGTGCACCACTTTGCACAATTTCATTTAAATCCATTTCTTTTTCTTCAATGAAATGTAATTCTCGTCCGCCACCCGATGCAAATCGAAAGGGTACAAAATCATTAGCCGTGAAACCATATTGTGGTTCTATATTGCGCACTTTGAGTGCCTGATCAATATCGCTTAACAACAAACGCTCGCGTTTTGAGTGATGCATAAACTTTGCAGCATCCTGCACAATTCGCTTAATTTTAAAGCTGACATCTTCTGCCAGTTCCTTGGCGGCATCATCCGGTAATGAACCCACACCAATGCTCTCTGCTATCACTTTCATAGATTCAGCAGATAGTGTTGTGCCGTAAAGCATATCACCAGCTACGCGTCCCGTGTTAATACTCATTTTGCATGAATATAAATTTATAATTTTTTTCTAAGTTATTTCCTAAAATAATAACAGAATAATATTATTTTCACAAATCGTATATCACGAATAAAGTGTAATAGCAACAGCTCAAAAAATAAAATATAGCGGAATGTCAGAGTGGGTAAAATTGCAGTAGAGTATGTTCAATGGCGTAAGATAATTCAGAATATAAAGGTTAGTTCACATTTTTAACGAAGAAAACGGAGCATTAAATGGTTATACAAAATAACAGTATTTTATGTATAATCGATCTAAATAGTATTATAATGTTCCATAATTTAAAAAGCTTAAGATTTTGTAAATAATAAAATATATAATAACATGTATGATTAGATACAGTTTAAATTTGCTATTACCTACAAAACGCACTTATCTCCAATCGGTTCTAAAATTCCTCAACACGATTCAAATCCTATCATACGTTTTTCTTATCTCTCTTTCGTTATCTTCACTAGCATTTGTCATTTAATTTTTACATTTCCCATTTGGACCGTTGTCAGTGTTTTTCTTTCCTTTATTATTTTGATATGTGTATTGTGATTTTAATTTCATACATTTTGAATTTCACCAATAAAATTACAATTGAAATTCCTTAAACTGTTCGCAATCATTCAACAATTGTATATTGCTTTATGTGAACATGAAATTTCTATAAAATATGTTAAGAAATAGTGAAAATATTGATTTGGAAGAAAGTGAAATGTTGAAAGTCGTCGACGCGGTCAGAAGTCATTGAGCAAAGAAAAACGGCGCCATTTTAAGAATGCAAATGCAGACGGATAAATTTGTATGAATAACGGAGTCGAAACAAAAGAAAGACACCAAAGCAGTATACGAATGCAAGCGTGGAACAAAGCAAACCAAGAGTAGAAGAATACGCAAAAGCAACAAAGAGAGAAAAGTGCCAGCAAATAGATGGAAAAAGTGAAAAGTGAATCTTTGTATTTTGATGTAGCTAATTTTTTCTTATGATTTTTAATTAGAATAACTAAAATTTGTGTAAGCGTGTAATGTGAATAAGTAATGAATAAAATAAATAAGCATTTAGAGTAAGTGTATAGGCTGAAACGGATAGAAAACTGCAGTGGACGTTGAAAAAAAACGTATAATTGCAGAACGTGTAAGTGAAATATGTTAACTAAAACAAAAATAATCACAATACACAATTTTGTGTAATACTGTAATATTCAAATATTAAATGTACTTTAAAATGTATGCAATTTTGGGGGCTAGTTACCCGAAAATTTGCTTTGTTGTTCTGTGTGATTTTGTATGCTTTAACAGAAACACATACATATATGGTATATACAGTGGTAACAGTGTTTGACTTTATTGGCTAGTTTGTCTGACTAGCTTACTAGCTGGTTGGGCTTTGGCTTGGTTGAGGCTATGGTGGTTTGACCTACTTTGTGTAATGGGCTATATTATGTTGATACAGAAACCACCGATCAATTATAGAGAACTAAACATTTCCTAATATAATTAATCGAAATAAATATTTTCATCAAAAAGATATTTTTGCAGAAAGCGCGGTTTTTGCACCCCTTTTCTTGAAACCATACCAATTATATGCACTTTGCATGCATATTTAATACAGCTGCATTTAAAGTTTATCCTGCGTTACGGCTCAGTAATTTCTTCCCCAAACACATTGAAAAAACCTGTAAATGGTGCGTTAATGCTTGCCAAATTATACAAGTTTGCTGAAGTACACTTTTTAGAGGTAGTAGGCAGGCTACCTAACTGAATATTTTTTTTTCTCTGCACTATTTGACTGCTCATACATATCTACGTGCATTAGTACAATATGTTGAGCAGCGGGAGTGAAGAAATAAAGACTATCTGTACAAAACCATTGGTGGTAGAAATGTAAATACATATATGGCGTTTGTCACGTTGACCACAAACACCTAATAGTTAAAACTGTTGTTTAATATAAAAAACTTTTAGATTTAAATGATTTTAATTTCATATTTCAATATTATTTAATGTATATAATTAAAGCAGTGATTGTCTTTACATAATAAAACATTAGGTTAGTTTGCCAGTGATTGCTTGAGTTTTTATACCCCGAACAGTGTATATTATTTTTGCCACAAAGTTTGTAACATCCAGAAGGAAATGTCGCACACTTTATACAGTATATACATATATATATATGATCAGCATGATGAGCTAATTCGATTTAGCCTGTCTGTCTGTAAATACGCAAAATAGTGCTGTTTTGAGATATCGATCTGAAATTTTGCACACGTCATTTTCTCGCAAGGAAACTGCATATTCGTCGGAAATGAGACTACTATAGCATATAGCTAACATTCCAACTAAACGACCAAAATCAAGTTCTTGTATGGAAAACTTTTTTAATTGACAAGATATCTTCAGAAAATTTGGCATTAATTATTTCCAAGGCAAAGCTAAAATATCCCAAAAAAAATTTCAGATTGGACTAATACAAACGATCAAAATAAAATCTGTATGAAAAACAGCGCTAAAATCTCTGAACAAACATTTTATTTTATTTATTTTTTAATTTCTTTATACCTAGAGCTTTTGCTTTACTAAAATATGAACAAATCGATAAATGACTTAGGAGCAGAGAATGTTTTGGCCACGCAATCACAGAACGAACAGAAGCAAACCGAATCTGTTAGTGAAAATGACGTAAGTTGCAGCACAAAATGTTGTAAATATATACTTTGAAATAATTTGTTGTTGTTTTTTTTTACAGGAATCCGAATCGAGTTCTGACCAGTCGAGTAGTTCTTCTTCTGAAACTACCAACACACAAAATTCTTTATCAAACACAACATGTTCTAAACGAAAATCTAACTCAGCATCTACGAAATCGTCTGCTACAGTAACACAATTTAGCGTACAACGTTCCGACGTAGATGGTTTACGTATGAAAATTTCAGCTATACGTCCCACTAATATAATTAACTCACTTTCTGATACCAAAAAACCTACCCATTCGCCAGTAGCTATAAGCAATATCGATTCCAGTGGCGGCACTTGTGATAGAACAAAAACGCAAAAAATTACAAATAGCGAAAGGGTACATTATAACAACAACACTATAACAAAGCCACTTACCGTTAAACTAAGCAATATAAAACTGCAGCAACAAAAGTTGCAGACATTAAAGGTAAATTTAGATTCTAAGCAGCATCAAACGTTTGAAGGCGGTGCCAATAAGATGTCGGTTGATACAGCGCAACGAAAAGCTGGTAAATATGGTGGTGATTCTGGTGATATTTTGGGTGTAATTGAAAACGCTACCGCCACTGAAGCTAATAAGAAAGCACTTACCTGCACTGTGCAACCGACATCGACGGCGCCGAGCATTGGACTTCCATTAGCGCACTTGCTTCCACAAGCGCCTTGCCTAAGTGATGCTACTGCAGAGTCAGGCTGCTCAGAGGCTACCACAACAACTATTGCAGCTAGTACAGATAAGTCTGTAACAAGGCGGGTACGGGTTAAACGAAAAAAGGTAAAATAAATAATGTTATAATCTAACATTTTCTTGATTATGCATTTTCTCCTTGTAGGCACAAACTAAAGTGTTGGCAAACTTAAAGAAACCCGCCATATCAGCAGCGGCTACAGTTATTAAGTCAGTGCAACCAAACCATCAACACAAAGCAATCACATATTCTTCCGATTCCGACAATGATGTGCCCATTTACAAACAAAAACAACAACACCAATTGCAAAAACGTGCGCCACGTCTTCTACTTACTGCTATCAATACAAATCCCAATAACGAACCACAAATTAAGCCTTTAGCGTGTAGTAATAACTCCGCCTTGGCTGCTGGATCAGCCACTTTTAGTCACGGCAGTGATAACAGTGATAACGAACTAAAATTGGATGATGTTGTAAACGCAGCTATTAAGCGTGTAGAAAGTGACGGCGATGATACACCGACAGGTGCGGAAGGATATCGTAAAACGCGCACTAAACGACTACCACAATACCAATCGACGCTATTACAGGACTTTATGGAGAAGACTCAAATGTTGGGTAGTAACAGTACCGCTGTAACGGTTGAGCAGAAAACTCTTGAGATTAACAAGCCACTTATCAGAACAAAATCCACATCAGAATCGGTAGCCAATATATATTCTGCGAATTCACAAAGTGAAAACCTTACTTCTAGCGGGAAAAAGAAACGTGGTAGGCCGAAAAAAATTCCAGCAACAACTATTGAGACGCAAGATACAAGATCATTAGGTGCTGCAACGTCGGTTATCGTGTCTACTTCCAACGCGAAAGTTGCCGCCGCCAGTGCAATTGCGTCGAATATTAATGAATCAGCTGACTCCGGTGTCATATCTACGACCAGTACAACAACTACACAAAGCAGTACATCGCCATCGCCAAAGCTGACAAGTGCCATGAGCAGTAGTAATAGTAGCACTACGCGTTTAGTTGCCACAACGCTAAGCCAGAAGCGTCGCCAACGTATTTTGGAAGCTGTCGATAAGACGCGACAACCATCCGTTTCACCATGTAAAAGCCAAACACAAGATGGTAGTGGTAGCTGTAGTGCTAACTCGCCAAAACCCAAAATCGATATTGCATATTTGGATAAGCGCATGTATGCCGCTACAGAGCGCGTGCTCTATCCACCGCCACGCAATAAACGGCGTCAATCATTGAGCGCGACAAGCGTAAATTTGGCAAATACACCGAGTAGTAAGAATATGTTGAAAACGACTACTACATTAACCAGTAGTAGCACCGTTGGTAATGCTTTGACACCAACAACAGCAAAAAATGTATCCAAAGAAGAGCTACAGCTGGATCCTGTGTGGCGTAAAATAGATGTGAATAAGAAATTTCGTCGTCCCAGCGTCAGCGGCTACAAAAGTGATGGCGGTGGTGGTAATACCACGATTTGTAGTAAAATACTCGCCGCTAAAAGTGGCTACGTCTCCGATTACGGTTCGTTTCATGCGCGTGCAGCGCGCGATCATTCTGGCTACAAAAGCGATGCTAGTGGCAAAAGTCGTTACAGTGTGAAAAGTTGTGCCAGCCGCCGTAGCAGAGCCAAAAGTTGTGGTTACCGCAGCGATTGCAAGGAGGGTAAGGATGCTACTTCCTTAAAATCGTCAAAATATCGACGAAAGCGACGTTCAGCACTATTGCGCGCACATTCAAAATCGGTTGGAAATCTGGCGACGAACTTAAACGACGTGGAAAAGGATTTACTCCAACTTGCTGGGCTGTCGCTTGGTCAGAGTAGCGAGGAGAGCAACGAATATGTATGCAAACCGAATTTGGAGAGTCTGCCAACAACGAGCGCTTCAAAGAAATATGGCGAAATTAATAGATTCATAGCGACAGGCGAGTATTTCGGACGTGGCAGTAGCAGTAGTGCGTTGGCAAGCGGTGGAAATATATTCGCTGGCAGTTTGCATGAAAATGTCGATGGCAGTGGTTCGCAAGATGGCTACGGATTCAGTCGTAAGCTTTTATTGCAACGAAAGCATTCTACAGGAAT